TTGTGATGATATGTCAATAGTAGAAGAAATACTTTTCTGCAAACGAATAGAACTCAAAGCAACAGCAGATGCATTATTTGCTATCTTGAATGATTTTATGAACGAAGCAAATATAGAATGGAAAAATTGCATCGGAATGTGCACCGATGGTGCTCGTTCAATTTCAGGAAGATTCCAAAGTATACAAGCACTTGTAAAACAAAAATCGCCAGAGTGTGTCTGGAGACATTGCATGATCCACAGAGAAGCTCTAGCTTCCAAAAAAAAAATGAGTTCTGGTCTGAATATTGTGTTAACTAGCATTATCACCATAGTAAATTATATAAAAATGAGACCTCTGAAATCAAGAATCTTTTATCCACTTTGTAAACACATGGGTGCAGAGTACATTCAGGGTTACTATTGTATTGTGGGCAAGATGGTTATCACGTGGGAAATTTTTGCAAGCTATTGCTATTTTACTGCAAGAGAAATCGAAATTGAAATCACTATTTTCCTGCAAGAGGAAAACAGACCGGAAGCCGAGAATTTACGCGATGGTTTATTTGTGATGAAATTGAGCTACTTGGTCGACATATTCTAGAAATTAAATAACTTGAATCTTCCACTCCAAGGAGCAAATACACATATATGGATACTAGTGACAAAGTTAATGCTTTTTGTAGAAAATTGGAATTGTAGAGCAGAAGTGTAAAGCAGGAAAAAACCTAACAATGTTAACAAATGTGGATGATTGTATTAAAATTTACAAGGCCGAAGAACAACATGTAAAAGTGGTTTTTGTAGCCATTGAAAATCATTTAGCCATGCTTAAAAAGAATTTTAAAAATTATTTTCTTGCTGACGACAAACTGATAGAAAGTTAGGAGGGGTTAGAGATCCATTTCAAACCAACAATTTAGTAATAAATCACTCTTTGAATTTTGGGCAGGAGTGAATGATGAGTTCTTTGAACTAAAAAATTACGGCATTTCGCATTTTATTACCATTTTCAACATTCTACCACTGTGAAACTGGATTTTCTGCAGTGGCTTCATTTAAGACAAAATATAGATCTCAGCTAAATATAGAAAAAGCACTGAGAGTGTCTATTTCTAATACAAAACCTTCCTTCGAAAAACTTTGCTCTGCAAGACAGGTCCAAGGAATTTACTAAGAATTATTAACATTGTTTTTAATTTAATAAGTCTTGATTTAGTAATTTTTAAAAATTTAATAAACTAATTATTAAATATTATGACAAAACTAACAGCTTCGCTGCCAGCCTTCGTCTAGCTTAATGGCTGAAGGGAACACCAACCGTTAAATTTAAAAACTGCGTAGAATTTTACTCTGCAGAACAACTTCATAAAACAAAAGTTACTACGTATAACAAAATTACAATGAAATAAGCAATATCCCTTAATACAAATATCAATTATCCTAATAAATAAATTAACCAACTTCCCTTTTCTAAATCTTAAGAACTCAAATGGTATAAAGGAGGTTAAGAACTTTGTTTCCTAAAAATATCACTCAGAACTTTTCAATATCTTAAAAACAGTGAAATGTGCAATAAATAACCTAAAAGAATACAAAAAACAAAAAATTCTGAAAAGCAAAGTATAATTAATGATATTTTATCTTATATTTTCAAGAGAAAAAAATTACAATGAAATAAGCTATATCCCTTAATACAAATATTAATTATCCTAATAAAAAATTAACCAATTGTCCGTTGAAGAGAAAAAATCAAGCAAAACTTTTCAATATCTTACAAACAGTGAAAAAAATCAAAAAATAACATGAAAGCTACTCAAAAAACATAAAATTCCGCGCAGAATTTTTTCTGCAGAACAACTTTATCAATAAAAAATCAATAAAAATGTATTATATATATAAAAATGCAATGAAATATGCCAATCTCTTAAAACGTGACATAAAAATACGATGAAAATTGTTGCCAACCCATATTTCTAAAAGAATGAAACTATTCAAAATGATGCGATTTCATCAAAAATCTATCAACAACAATAAGACAGTAAAATTGTTGCCACAATCACAATTTTAAAGATGTGAGATGTGAGAAGTGTACTCGGAAGCTTCATTTAAAAAAAATTTTTTAAATACAAAATATTATCATTTTTCCAAAATTCTTTTTGTAAATACAGTCGCAAGGATGAAAGTTTAGCGTGTCCAAAAATCAAAGAAAAATAAGCTGTACCTTTTTAAAAATAAACTTTTTTATAAAAAATTCCGTTCAAAAGGTGTTAAGCTCCCTTTGTTAAATAAATTCGTATTTAATCGATTTATTGAAACAAGAAATTTATTTTAAGTTCGTAAAATAGCTAAGCGCCTACGTTTCATGACGATGTGAAAATGGAGTGTGTAGAGTAAAATCTCGCTTTCCTATAGCCCATTATGTCTCAATATGACACAATTTCGTCACAAAACATAAAATTTAAAAAAAAAAAAATTTAATTCGAATGTCGAAAGAATCGCTTCGAGGTGCACTGGATCTTGTCTAGATGTACATATGTACCAAATTTCGTAGCCGTGGGTCTATTAGCTTACGCGCAGGGCAAGCGAAAGACACACACACACAGACAGACTCTTTCTTTTATTATAGTATGTAGAGATATATTTTGTTTTGTATGTGTGCGCATACTTTCCTTTCAGTCAGTTAAGATTTTTTTTAAATGATATTTTCTATTGGATATGCTCGCGCCCCCCCTTTAATATGCTTGTGCTCCCCCCTGGGGAAGGGACGCCCCACAGGTTGAGAATAGCTGGTTTACGTATATAGTTTTGAAAGTTTCAGCATGGTGGCATCACTAACGGTGTAACGGTCATTAATGTGAGTTCATGTGCAGGATGTGGAGATCATTTGTATTTAAGGACTTTTGATTTTGTGTTTGTTGTTATTTTGATGTAGTCAAAGTTTTAAAATTGTTTGAACAAGTTCAAACTTCTTACTACACATTTGCCTATCATATTTTTTGTAAAAATTAATTTGTAAATGTTAATAATATTTTTTCAAAAATTGGAATAGAAACTTAGTTTAGATTTTTTTAAGTATTTTTTCTATTTTATTTGACATCAATTCTAATGTATTTTTGGTTTTAAATAAAATACAAAATAAAATAAATGGAAATAAAAGTTGATGCATTTAAGGGTTAAACATAAAATGCTGTAGCATATTCTGTATTATGTACCACATCCTGTAAGATCGCAGACCAAAAGCTTTATGGCCTATAGTGTTGCACTACTACCTCTGTTCATTTATACCTTACTTTTGAAACTGACAGGATACTACGGGAATGGAGGATTCTGCATTATCAAAATATAATTTTCTGCAGGATCTCCATGCAATAAAAATTCTAATTGGTAAAACATTCATTGTGATTTAAGCAATTGTAAACAAAACGTTCAGTGCCTTTACATTTAACATTCGAGGATTCATACTGAACGTATCCTCCCACAAAACCTTTCTTACAAAATATGGATCTTCTAAAGACAAACCTATTTACACTCATGTCCATAAATTAAGGATAATTCGGAGTCACGCGGAAATCGAACTCTAAAATAAATATATCACCTATAAAATCACTACGCACATCTTCAAGAATCATATTTAAATTTCAGGTAGTAACCAGATGACACCGATGGTACGTCACAATGACGAGAGTGTAAGAGAGTGATAGATAAGGAATAGAGGCAAAGAAGTAAAATTGTTGACGAACTTGGAATTGCCCAGAGTGTCATCTCCAGGCTTTGGCAACAATTCCAAGATGATGGTAATGTGAGTAGACGTTACAGCACAGATCGCCTCAGAGTTATAACGCCAAATGAGGACCGGTATTTGGCAGTTACTGCCAAAAGAAACAGGCGGAGCACGGCCTCACACTTGTCTCGTCAGCTCTCTTCAGCCACTGGTACGACAATGTCAAGGAAGACCGTGTACAGAAGCTTAGGGCAGATTGGTCTATATGCTCGTAGACCTGTCAGATGCGTTCCACTTAGTGCAATTCACTGTCGCCTGCGGTTAGCATGCAGTAGAGAGCATGCATTGTGGACACCGCAAAAGTGGGCTCGTGTGATGTTTTCCGACGAGTCCAGGTTTAGCTTGCAGTCTGACTCTCGTCGGACTTTCATGGAGAGCTCCAGGTACCCGTTACCACCAAGAAAACATTATTGAACGACACCGTTACGGTGGTGCAGGAGTGCTCATTTGGGGGGGAATTATTCTGGGTTCCAGAACTGACCTGCATGTTCAAATTGGAACCATGACATGCCAAATCTATCGGGACGTCATTCTGGAACCACATGTACGTTTGTTTCGTGGCGCCATGGGCGCACAATTTGTGTTTATGGATGACAACGCCCGTCCTCACAGTGCAAACATCGTTAGCGAATGCCTTCAATCGGAGGATATCACCCGTATGGACTGGCCAGCATTCTCACCGGACTTGAATTCAGTAGAGCACGTGTGGGACGTGCTTGGTCGACGAGTTGCAGCCCGTCAACCTGCTCCTACATGTATACCGGAACTTTGGAGAGCATTGCGTTTTGAGTGGTGTAATATCCCCCAAGATAAGATGGATAATTTGATATTCAGCGTGCCTAGGCGTTGTACGGACTGTATTGCATCGTCTGGGAGACATACAATGTATTAACAATCATACCAACCGTGTAATATTGTTTTTTTGTAAATAGGTTTTTTTTTTTTTTTTTTTTTGTAATTGCTTCAGGGAGAAAAAAAAAATCGCTAATTTTTTTAATAATATCAAACATATAGCATCTTTTTTTGTTCTTTACCTTTTGTTTAATAAATAAGCTTTACAAATAAGTCAAATTTGTTTTGCCTCTAACTCTTCCTTTGCCTGATTTTGCATTATCCTTAATTTATGGACATGAATGTATATGAAAACTGAGAGAGGCATAAAAGTCCAATGGCACCTCTGGTGCTAGAATGTATTCTACTGTACTTAAATATGTGATATTTTAAACTTTATTTTCAGATCGCAGTTATGGCAGCTAAGAAGCGAATTGCAGTCATTGGTGGTGGATTTGCCGGGATTCTTTCCATCGCTATGCTCAAAGAAGAAGGTATGGATCCGTTCTGTTTTGAGCAAACGGACAAAATAGGAGGAACTTGGAATTACAGAGAAGAATCGACGGACGGCGTCGCATCGATTATGCCCACTACCATCATTAACCACAGCAAAGAAATGGGAGCTCTCAGCAATTTCCCGCCTCGGAAAGAGTACAACAATTACATGAGACACGACGAACTGTTTCAGTACATTACGGAATACTGTACCGAGAACGATTGCTTAAAACATATTCAACTCAACATGATGGTCACGTGCGTTAAGCGCTGTGAGGATTATGACGAAACTGGACGCTGGGTGGTGACAGCAAGGAATACGAGTACGGCTGAAGAATTAACTGATACCTTCGACGGTGTGATGGTTTGTGTAGGTCACATTAACAGGCCTATCATTCCAAATTTTCCCGGCCAAGAGAAGTTCAAAGGGAAAATTATGCACACGCACAGTTTAAAAGAAGTTAGCGAATTCAAAGACCAAAATGTTTTGGTCGTAGGAATGGGTGCTTCCGCTTTAGATGCAGCTGTAGGAATAAGCGATGTTGCTAAACAAGTAAGAAACTTGAAACCCTACTTTTTTTCGGGATATTCTACAGTTATGAATGATTCTAATTTATATGCGAATATTATTACTTTCTACTCTTGGAAATACACTTCAGAAGTAAAAATAAAATTTTAAAACTAATAGGAAAGTTTTCAAAAAAATGTTCAGAACAAATCTGAAAAGTTAAGATTTTAACGATTGTCCAAACACGTCGTTTTAAGTTTAGTGATAACGTTTTTTAAAGTTTAATATGGTTTTTCACAAGAGATTATAAATGGAGATGACCCAGGTTTAATAGAATTATTTAGGTATTTGATTTTACTTTATTTGAAATGTGAAAAAATATCTAACTGAATTATAAACAACCTCATATTTTTAATTAGAAAATATCTATAAAAATACTTAAATTTTTAATTAGATATGTAATGAATTAAATACGTTTTATTTAAATCATTCGGATTAAAAAGTTTTAATAAAATGATAATATCCTGAAGAACTTCATCTTTAAGAAGTAAAAACAAATACTACCCTTAAGAACTGCATCTAGTTTGTTAATCAATAACATATTAAATCTGAAAGATAAATATTGTTGCGCGCGTACGGATTCGTAATAAATTAAATGCACAAGTCCAATAAAAGGTTAATAAAATTTACTCTTATCAAACGAAATATAACAGAATGTTGGAATTTTCCTCAGAGATTAGATAAGAGTTCACAACATCACGCAATATAATCAGTAATTATACTTCCAACTACTAAAAATGTTAAAATGCAACGCAATGCAAAGAGAAAGCTAATCCGGCTTTAAATAGTTTTTGACGAGTCGCGCGAGATCTTTCTAGTAATCTCTGCATCTTGAGATTTCTGGAAAGCAAAACGAGTACAATTACGGTTACATCTAACATTGTGTTCAGTTACATTTATTCAATTTAAATGTAAATTACCGAGCTAAACGTTTACTCAATGTTAAATGCACGTGCTCCTTTACTTTTCCGACATAACTTTCTCTTAAAATTCTTCTCGCGCTGCAGGCCCACCAGCGGCCGAGAGGTAAAGTCACTGAACATTGGTAGTTTGGTCCGAGGTTCGAATCCCGCGAACGGGCTGGCTGCATGGGCGTTTTCGTGGTTTTCCCCATGTGTAACATGTATACGAGCCAGTTTCCCTTAGAAAGTCCTCCACGAAGGCATCCCTCCCCTTAGGTAGATAGCCCTCGAGGCTTTGCCGTAATCACACACACAAGAATACAACTTTAATTATAATTCTACTAAAAATATCTAACTAAGTTCAAAATTGGTAACAACATCTCGGATTTTACTAAATGGCAACTGTCATTTTGCTGAATGGCAGATACAAAGATTTGTTTCTCTTACGATACGCAGCATCCCTAATCCAACGATTGAATAAAGGAATAAAAACTTATTATGCCAGCCAATTTTTACACCTCTGCAAATAAAGCACTGCAGCAGGAATTTCCAAACTTTTCTTGCACCGGCCTCTTTTAAAAGAATTTTTTTTTATCCCCAGACGCCCTTGTATTTTTCTCTAACATACAACAAAATATAATTATAAATAAAATAATTACACATAAAAAGGTTAAAGATAAAAATTAGATTTACGAAAATGAACAAGTTTCGGAAAAAAATTATTAATTCTTATAAACTACTTTTAATCGGTTTACATTTTATTATTTTTTTGTATTATTATTATCTTTACAAATGTAAAAGGTTTTCAGAATCAAACTCGAAGATTTTAAGTGCGCTAAAGACCCATTTTAATGATTGTGATCGCTGTGCTTAATGCACTGATGTAATTTTGTTTTAAATATTTTGCATAAAATTGCTTAATTTATTTCTTAAATGATCTCTTTCGGAAACATTCAATTTGTTTCTTGCTTTCCATTGTAAATTATTGCCTCACCCGCTTCCATTAGAAAGCGGGAATTGTGGCATCGGTAAGAGGTTTTATTTTGGAACGAAAAAAAAAAATCATTGATTTATTAAATATATTAAATTATTTTAGCGTATTTCCTCCTTGTATATGTATTATATAATTTTTCCTTTCATTTACATTAATAAATAATTATCAGCTTTATTAATACATTTTGGTAGCCAATAGTATCTCCTTCATAGGAGGCAAAGGTGCTCCACCTTTTAGGTGCCTCCATAATAAAGTGGCCACCGATTCCAACTGTAGTAGTGGCCAGTGCCTATAAACGACCACAGCCCGCTATTGGAACGAAGAAAGAAATTGATAACTATCTGGCGCACTTGGGTACAGAGTTTCATGTGCTTGCTATGAAGGATTTATTGCATTCTTTATTTCATATAGTATATCACGACTTTGGAAAAGTTTTAAAGAATTACTCTTCAGTGTCTTATAAATTCGATCTTTACACACACACACACGCACACACACCATAAAAAAAAAAGTTAAAAATTTTCTATAAAAGAAACGTTTAATGCACAATAAAATTTGAAATTTGATAAGAATCTTCTTTATGGGCTCCAATTTCTTAAATAAGAAGAACAGAAAAAATCATTTTAAATGAAAATTAAGAAACTGATTATTAAAAAAGTGCATAAATTAACTTGCATTAAAAGTTTTCTAAATACAAAAATGTAATTTTTGCTGTTAGAAATTCTTTAACCAATAATCTAAATATAAAAAATTTTAATTCGTAATCTAAGCACACTAAGGTATAGATTATGAAATAAAACATAAAGCATGAAATTATTTATCTTGGCATTCTAATAAAAAGTAAAACATTTATTTATTTATTCAATTGGTGGACACTTAGCTGATTAGGTTAAGTCCGGAAGTGGTTGTGACTTTATTGCGAACTAACTTAAATAGGTGGGCCACTATTACCTCCTATGAAGGGACAGACAACTACAGCCATACATTCCCCGGGATTCGAATCTGGGCCCTTCCATACCGCAGTAGGTTTCCCTATCCACTACACCATCTGGTCGTCACATTTATTTTATTTATTTTGGCGAATTAGATTTATTGACATATACAAATAATTTATTTTATTTTATTTATTTTTTGAAGGTGTACCTGAGTACAAGAACTGGCAGTTATGTATTAAACAGAGTTGGACCCCGTGGCTATCCGATCGATTACGTTCTCATGAGAAGATACTTTCTTAAATGCATCGATTGTATACCTATACGCTTATGCAACTGGTACGTGGAGAAGTTCTACATCGATCCCAGATTCCATCACAAGCTATATAATGCGCCTCCAAAATATCACTTCTTGAACAAGGAGCCCGTTCTTAATGATCACTTTGGTCCTAAGTTGTTATCTGGGTCTATAATTCAAAAGAGAGATATTGTACGCTTCACGGACAGAGGTACTGTTTTCGAAGGCAGTGAGGAAGAAATCCTAATCGACACAGTTATCATGGCCACCGGATACACATGGAAATTTCCTTTCTTGGAGGAAGGAATTGCGCAGCAAGAAGAGGATGGAAAAATCATTTTATACAAGGGAATGTATCCTCCTCACCTGAAACATCCAACACTCGCAATAACGGGTTTTCTGTTACCATTTGGACCAGGGTTCCCAGTCGGTGAGATGCAGTGTCGATGGGCAGCTCATATCTTCGCAGGAAAGGGGCGTTTGCCTTCTGCCAAAAAAATGCTAAAAGACATTACAAGAACTCACGAGAGGAATGTAACGAGATATGCCCCAAATGATAAAATGACATTAAGGATTGACTGCATGCAATATTTAGACGACTTAGCATCAAAACTTGGTGCAAAGCCGAATCTATTCAAATTGTTTTTCACTGATATCCGACTGTTTTCGAAGCTTTGCTGGGGTCCTTTTCTTTCCTATCAATATCGACTACAAGGACCAAACAAATGGGATGGAGCAAGAGATGCCATTATGACTTGCAAAGAACGAGTAAAATATCCATTACGGAAGGATAGAATCAAACAGTAACGTTTGAGCTACAGTTTCGTTTACAAAAGAAATTTACGTAACTATCAGAGGAACTTGCTGTAATACGTTGCAGTTTAAATTCTTCTGTTGCAATTTTAAAAACGTTTAGCATATATTTCTTTAATTTAAAAAATACATAACTCAAACATGTGGTATTTAAGAAATGCTTGCTTCAAAAAACTGTTTATAGTTACTCAAAAAAAAAAAAAAAAATTGATAAAAGCTATTTTGCTTTTACTTTACAATGCATTTGCTCATGTTCTCTCAGGATAAATTTCTAGGTAAACCTTATATTGTTTATTATAGAATAAATGTTTATTATATGATATTATAGAATAAATTTCTAGGTGAAATTTTTTGTTCCATTTCATTTAAACTTATTTCCTCGAATTTCATTAGCGATATATTTCTCATTCAATGAATTCAGTTCTCACTTCGCGGGAAGGCAAAAATACATGAAACTTCAAAATAGCTTTATTAAAAATTGAAAAATAAAAAACACCAAACAGAGCTAAAACAATTTAAAATTTTCTTTTACAAGTAAAATTAGAGTTTCTACACAAAAAAAAGCAATTCGGCGCGCGGGCAAGAAGGCAGATTTTTCGATGCAAAAAACTGAAAGTTGGCCCCAATCGGCAAAAAGACACTGAAGATGCAAAAACTGACATAATTCACTATTCTGCTCTGTTTCAAATGTAAACAAATATGGCTGCTATGGTAAAAAAATTAGGCTTAGCAGCACTTAAACAAATTTTAAATTGTTGATATTCGAGAATATAATTTACTTACACAATTATTCATGAAATTCAAACACTAAATTCAATGGACTGTAGATTTCTTTTATTTTACTTCTGTTAACAGATATTAAAAACATGAGAATTTACATAGTCTTACTTGGATGGGACACTCTTGCCATCCACATACATACATTTCCGAACTCAAACCTACCAAGCACGCACCCAATCAAATAGCCACTGGCTTTCCACAGTTGTCCCGTTTTTCTACTCGTGGTTGCCAGATCACTCTAGTTAAACAATATTCATTCGATCATGGCGTTACTTCACTTCTGCCTTAACATACCGCCCAGGTTGGGCATTTGTTACACAGTTAACAATGACCAAAATTAAACACATTGAATTCGCCATATAGTCTAAATCATGTATCACAAAATTTAAACTGATACACTTGAACAAAATCAATAAACATAATTAAACACAGAACATGAAATGCGCAACATATAAATTCAAATACAATGGATAAATAATATTCTTTTTTGAACTCAGCAAATATACATGAACGTATATAACATCTACTGGTAGTACAGCTAATTTAGTTATTGGTCTTTTTAAGAGACCAGACTAGGTTTTTACAATACGAACTCTTAATGTCCTTTTATCCTTTTAACCTTTTTATCCTTACCATAAATTAGGTCTTCTATTTTCCCCAGTAACCAAGTTGAAATGGGCATGTTGTCTTCCTTTATTAAAACTATAGTGCCCTTTTTAACCTTATACTTAGAGAAATACCACTTAAATCGTTGCTGTAAATGACTTATGTAATCATTTTGCCACCTTTTCCACAAATATTGCGTTACTTTAGTAGCAGTTTAAAGAGCTGTCAGAAAAATCATTTAAATCAGGCTCCGTTATAGATGTTAAAGGTCGCCCGACTAGAAAGTGTGCGAATGTAAGAGTTTCTAAATCATTGGTGTCATTCGACCGAGGGGAATTTGGACGTGAATTTAAAATTCCTTCAATGTGGTTCAAAATTGTAAGAAACTCTTCAAATGTAAAAATCAACCTTCCAACTACACGCTTAAGATAAAACTTAAACGACTTAACACCTGTCTCCCAAATACCTCCAAAGTGAGGAGCCCTGGGAGGGATAAACTTCCAATGACTCCTTTCAGATGTTAGATATTTGGTTAAGAATTCATCAGAGTATTTAACCAAATTGTAGAGTCGCTTGAATTCACTGAAATTCAAGCAACCAACAAAATTTCGAGCACTGTCGCTAAATATGGATGCACAATTCCCTCTTCTAAAACTAAGGTTGCAATAAATGATTCTGTAGACAAATTTGAAATGATCTCGAGGTGGATTGCATGAGTCAAGAGAAAAACAAGAATTTGCAACATAAATCTTATATAGTACGCTTTTCCTCTAAGTTGTATATTTTATACCAAAAGGGCCACGAAAGTCCACACCAGTGTGGTTAAAAGGAAAGGATGGATTTAGTCTCTCGAATAGTAAATTACCCATCTTTTGATCCAGCAATACTGGTTTTACTTTGTCACACGTTACACAATCTGTTACTATCTTCCTAGCAAGATTACGTCCACTTATTGGCCAAAATTTTTGTCTAACACTATGAGAGCGCTTGTTCCCCAGTATGTAAGTTTCGAATATGGTGGTGTAACATAATCAAATGAGTCAATTTATGACTTTTTGGCAAGACAGCAGGGTGCTTTGTGTTAAAAGACAAGTTAGCTTCCTGCAGTTTATCACATACTCTAATAACTTCATATTCATCTAAAAAGGGACATGAATTTTAACTGACTATTTTTACCTATTTCCCTTTTCTTATTTAACTCCTTGAATTCTTCAGGAAAGCTTTGCTGCTGGACTAAGGAAAGTAATTTATTTTCGCTTAACGATACCTCATCTACTGTCAGATGACTTACTTGTTTTTCCTTGGATGTACTCTTATAAATCTAAAAACATTAATTAATTTAGCCTAACAATTAGTAATACTAAAAACATAATCCAAAAGAGAATTGTTAACAGTTACTGTCAAATTTACGTAAGAAATAAGTTTCAGTTCGTGCACATAGTTCTCATTTGAATTTTCCAAGTTGCTATTAATACTATTATAATTAAGACTTGTTGTAGAAAATTTGGTCTTTGATAGCATAAAAAGTTATCACTAATAATTTCTGGGCTCAGATCACGAGAAATTAGGCCAGCAAGATTGTCTGCGGTTCTGACATGTTGCCAGCAGAAATCCTTAGTTAGCTCTTGAATACGAGCTACTCTGTTTGACACGAACACTTTTACAAGATGAGGAGATGTAGCAATCCAGGCTAACACTATTGTTGAATCTATGTGCAGAATAACGTTGTCAATTTGTAAACTAAAAGATGTTATTACCTTACACACAAGTTTGGATAGGAGCTCTGCTGCACAAAACTCCAGACGAGGAATGGTTATTACTTTGATAGGCAAAACTCGAGATTTGCTGCAAAGAATTTTAAAGAGTTTAATAAAGGGTACTTTTAACCCTTCTCCTGTGTAGTTACTACAAGAAATTACTGCGTCCTCCGGTTCATCATCTGAGTTGAAGCGATTCCTTTTTAGTTGTGTTTTTAGCGGACCAAACAAATTGAAATCGTAGGATGCTCAAGCTGCTCCCAGCTTGAACTTGGCCATTAATTACACTTTGTGTGACTGTGGAGACTTGTGGGTGCACATTATCGTGGAACAGAATCATTTCCGCCATGAGCAGCACAGGCCGTTTGCTCTTGATGGACTGGCTTAGGTTACGGAGTGTATCATAGTAAACATCACTGTTAATGTTATTTCCGTGTTTCAGGAATTCGATGACATTAGCCTTCGGACTTCGAAGAAGACGGTGCCTGCTAAGGTCACAGCTTTGAAATTTTAGGGGAAAGTGACGACGCATGCTTCCTTCGCATGCCATCCTGCTTTGTCTCTGACTTGAAGTGACGGCACTAGCTCTTGTCAACAGCGACGATTGGTTTGAGGAAAGCGGAGTTTTCATAATATCGAAACAGGTGTTGCAGAACTAGTCCCATACGTAGTTCCTTTTGTGGTTGGCAGAGCTCCTTTGGAACCCACTAAGCGCCCACCTTCTGGTAACCCAAACTGGTCGTGAACAGTTGTCCGCGCTGTTCCGGCGTTGGCCCCTACCACCACTGTCTCGAAGAATAAGGCCTAAGCACGAACGGCTGACTGGTAAGTTATGTCACGAGCAGAAGAACGATGCGAAGAAGCCGAAACATCCTCCCACAATCATCCAGCGACGATGCACGCTTTTATTATATTCTTACTTTCTAAATTCAGATTCTGTCTTTCATTCAGAGCCTAATTTTAAATTAAAATTTTTGATCTATAGAAGGCTATTCAGAAATTATGAACAACTAAAATTATAAATACGGTACGTAATTTTTTCCCAAAATCTCCAGACACTTGCTTATCAAGCAGTGAGTAATTAAAATAAAATATAAACTTAAATGCTGAACAATAATAAATTAATTTTAATTAAAGATAACTATATATATATAATTTAAGTGATTATAAAGAAGAGGAAAGTATAAAAGCGATTGCTTAAAAGTACATTTGATACTGCAAAGTAAAAAAGTTACACTTACACCATGTAAAAACAACAATGCAATACTAAAGAAGTAAAAGTTATCACGTAAAAAGTTAATGTAATAATTACAAAGTGAAATAAATTTAAAATCCAAAAGGGATGAAAGAAAACTAATAAATTTATTATCAAAATTTATATTTTAAAATGATGCAAGAAAAAAATTTAAAAAAAAACATTTCAAATACACAGAAAATATGTAAAGAGTTGCAATAAATGGTAAATTAGTCCAACTCGAGGTTTAATCCGGACTTGTCAACGGAATATCTTAGCGCGTTTCGTCAAAACGAAAACAATTGAGACTGAAAACGGATTTATTAAAAGAAAAATTAAACTAATTTATCTAAATATAGTAAGTCTCAATGGTTTTTAGCTTCTTTTCCCGACTCGCATGCAATTTAAAATTGTAAATGCTAAACTTCCTATAAAAGCAATAAAAAAATACACAAGAAAGAGAAGATTTAAGAGAAACATTAGAAAAATAACATCTTAAAATGGGTCTTGCTAAGGCCGAAGGCAAAAAATATCAGAAAACGAACCTGCGTCCATCGGATCGGCCTGACCATCGTAAAGTGAGCAAAACTGCTGAAAAGAGATTGCCGTAATTAGAAGAATTCCAAAGGAGTGCTACCAGAAAAGTAGAAAAATTGTCCAATTAGGTGAGGCGACGCTAAAAAGGAAACAAACGAAAAGAAGCGGTAGCCAATGGAACGTAACTGCCAATGAGGGAAAACCTTGAATTTAAAAATGGGGGTGGTTGAAGGTTGAAGACGGATGCTATTCTTACAAAATGGCGGTCTAGTTCAAAACCGAGTCTTGAAAAAATTGTGAAGGCGAATAACAAAATGGCGAAAATCAAAGTAAATGTTTTTCTGGTCGAAAGCAGTTGAAATTGGAAAAAGTCGTAATTCTTCGCGCTAGAGGACTAACAAGCGAGTTCGAAACGAAAATGGCTCTTAAAATT